AAAAAAAACAATAAGAAATGCTGTTATTTGTTTTGTTCACTTTATTAAGAATGGAATACAACAGCAGGACAAAAAGTCATAAGAACACCAAAAAAGTGGATGACCGATCAAATATCAAAGGGACCAAAGACAAAAAAATAGTGACATTCTACCCATCATGTAAATATAGCCGTGCAAAGATTGAAAGTATTTAGCAATTCGGATACAATCAAGTGGTTATCTCAAGAAAGTATTTTAAAATCCCACTCACATCATCTATGTCAGTGGGACGCATCCATCAGCCGACAGTGCTCATGGGGATGGGGGAGTCTATTTGATTGGACAAGGTCCAGCTATTGATCAGGATCAGCCAATAACACACACCACGATATTTACAATACAGAGATTAGAGGCAATCAAATGATTAATTTTGTTACTGATTGATTGTTGGACTTACATACTGGTATAGAAAAATGATGTTACATCGGCTCTCTGAAGTATAAGTAAAAAAAAAAAGAAAGCATATTCACTAGCAAATGATTCATAATAAATAGTAACATTACACAAACATAGCAAATATTAGAAAAAAAAAGCATGTCAGTAGAATAAAACAGCTATTCAGGTGCTCTATGGAGAAAAGTAACAGCTACGGTACACATACAAAAAGCTCGGGGGGGTTAACAGGGACTGAACGCTATCTTGCATCAATTACGTCTGTGCTTTGTAAACAGAATACTAGGATGAGAGTTTATTTTTCATGTAGAACGAGCAAACTTTTACCAAAAAAAAAAAGAAGTGACTCTTCTCACTTCTCTAAGTTTCTGTCTTACATGCGTACGCTCACACACACTCACACACCGCTGTCGGCTGCGACAGACCAAGAGGAGGGTTATAGTTTGTAGACGGGCGGAGACGCCGGGGATGGAAGGAGTTAAGAGAGTTATAGTTAGTGTTCGCATGGACCTCGGTTAAAGGAAGCAGAGTGAAAAGAAAAAGGAAGCATCGAAACACCCAAACTCAGGGACGTGGTTATGGAGATCATCGACCGTATGTTAGGAGAAACCTTATCTATCAGGAGGAGTGAAGCTAAGCAGAGAGCAATGGTTAGAAGCAACAAAAATGGAAGTGACGTGAACTACTGTCTTTCTGTATGGGCCATGGTTAGCACCTAGGCATTGCAGATGTTGTATTATTTGGTTCAGTAGTAGCTGTGTGCGTCCTCTCTGGCCTTGTGTCCTTCTCCTCCGTGCCTCCTGTGGCCGCGGCGCTCGTGGTGCTGATTGTGGTGATGACGTCGGTACCGGTGTGATCGTCGAGCTGCGGGAAAACCGACAAGTTTATTTACAACATGCGCAACACGACTGGCACCGTGTTAGAACGCTCACAGCACATGTTGGCCTCAGGGTCATTATGCCTCGATTCACCGAATGCCCCACACCTGACCATCTTCAGTTTTGTTTTTAAAGTGGTGAACCTTGTTTGAGTTGACCATGTGTGACCATGTGTGTGTTTCGTTTTTCATAAACTTGATAATAAATCATGATTTTTCTTTTAGCCCAGCAACAACATTGTATAACTCTTGGGAGTCATACCTGCTCATTCATTTGTCAAATGTTGGACATACATGCAAAAAAAAGGTGTTTTGCTGTCTTATTTTTCTCATTAAGCATGCCTCAGACTGGCACCACACTCTCTATCACCATCTTTAAAGCTCCCATTGGTCCAAATCTGTCCCTTGGGGTGAACAATAAAGGTTTTATGGTTGGTGGAATATGGACGTCTACGGAAAGTAGACAGAAACGTTGACATTTTTTGACCAAATCTGCACCATCATATAACTGGTTTTGTATTATGTTGCACCACTGAAGACTGTATGCACATATCAATGATGGTGTTAAATTTCAGGACTTCACGTTATTTCTCAAGTTATGGCCCCTGAAACATCGCTCCACAGATTGGCCAAAGAAAAGGACGCAACAATCAGCATGACCTCACCTATTCCTATAGAGTTTTTACTCAAAAACCAAAAATTTCTCACGTTTTACTTAATAACATAGGTATGTACAGAAAAAAATAGACAAATATGAAATGGTCAGGCGTGAACTTGTTAAAAAAAAAAGAAAATTGGCCTCACTGTAGTTATTTCTATGCACTTGTGTCTGTCTGAAGTTTATTTGTACACAATATCTTAAGGAAGTCGGGGCTTTAGCTTAGCAGACACTGGATATTTTTAGCCTGATGCTAAAATAATTTTCATAAGGACAATTTCAAATGTTTAAACTGTGACCAATAAATGTAGCAAAAAGTATAGCAAACATATGTTTAGAGGTCATTTTATCACATGTATTCTGACATATGAGCTCATTCAGTATGTTCGATTTATATGCTTCACGTCTTCTTTACGCTTTTATTAGTGAGTCAATAATAGAAGGATGACAGGAAATTAGACGAGAGAGAGACCATGAATCATCTTTAACGTAGCTCCCCGGCTGGTTGCCGCTCATTGTCGGCCACCAGGGTGCTCCTCGTTTGCTCTCCTCACTTTGATTCGACTGTAATTTCAGTGATTAAAACAAATGAATCCTATTTTTCTGCTGTACTAACTCTGCTGTAAGTTCCTCTAAACATCGAAAGACTAGAAATTAGGTCGCGTTTAACAAGGAGAGGCGGCTCAGAAACTAATAATTACACACAAAGGCAGCCTGGCAGGACTGTTGGAAATGTGGTAACTGGGGAACAGGGTGAACAACACACAAAAAAAACAATAAAGATGTGATGCTAAATACTATAATTGCAACAATGATACATAATTGTAATTATGGAGGCCCGAAAAACCAACAAAGGGGTATCAGGGGATTCAAAAACAATCAATGATGAAAAAGCTTTTTTTCCTCCCCTCATTGGTGGTGCATGACACTCACACTTTGTGCAGATGATCCTGGGCCTCTCCCAGCTCCCGTCGGCCCGGCAGCGTGCGGTGGGGATGTGGCGCTGGTAGAAGCCCTCGGAGCACTGGTAGCGCACCACTGAATGGATGTCATAATGAGATCTCCGCCGACCTATCAAGTGGGCGTTCTCCACGGCAGGAGGGGTTCCGCACAACACTGAGACAAAAGGATGATATACATGCATCTGTTACGTACGAGCAAAAGGAAAGGCTGCAGGTGTGAGCGGCCTGCAGATGGCAGCCTCGTCGCTGTGTGTGCAGACCGAAGCGAGGCCGGAGGGAGGCAATGTGTCTCTGCAGCAGACGGGAACTACAGCCAAACCACGGAGCCATGAGACCGCGGCCAGACAAACAAACACTCTCAAACTACTTAAGGCCTCTCTCTCCCTGTCCTCTTTTATCTCCCTGCTTCCTTCTCTAACGCCTCCTGACCGTCCTCCATGTCTTCTTCTTCTCTCTCTCTCCACAGCCTACAACATCTCACAGCATTCAGGTTGGCTGCGTCCCAGAGGAAAGGTGTGGGTGAAGCATCAAGAAAACCTGGCAGAGTGTCTCACGAAAATGTTTTCAGAAGATATTCGCGAGCAGAGCAATAATTGGCAATAACTGCAACTTCAGTTCTGCTGCCCGGACAAGCGAAAGGGGGGCCGGAGGAGGGAGAGAGAGAGAGAGACGCCAATAAGAGGGGAGATTGATATTGCCCTCAGAAATCAATACAGGTTTTTAGTTCGAATCACAGTCTTCACTTAAGTTTGTTTTTGTTGTCAATTTTTGGAGCATCTGCTGCTTTGACCTTTCAAGGCAGGAAAAAGAGCAAGCGATGCGAAAGAGATGCTGCACTCTGGCCAACCTCTGATGTTTACACAGAAAGAGCACAAGATGAACACCGAGGACTGAAAAGGTGTCCGGCTGGTCAGTGGTGAAACCAAATCGCACGAGGACAGGAAATAGCTTGAACGTAGAATAAATATTAGATGCTGTTTATTAAAATTCTGCTGAGTGTTTTCACCTTTTTGTTAAAAAGCGCTGCCTTTTGTTTGCTTGTGTTCAGCTCAGCGGTGTTACAGTACCTGTGCCTTTCTTGCAGATGTAGGGCAGGTTGTAGTTGCAGGGCACGTCGTTCCACTTGCCGTCCTCATGGGCAATGGTCACCACGCAGTCCTCGCCGCCCGCGAAGAAGTTATCCGGCTGGCTCTCCCTCCAGTTCTCATACACCTGTACGGGAAGAAGCAACACAGTTCAGCTGCTTTCATGTGTCAATGCTGCAAGTCTTCACTCTGTTCATTTTTCTTTTTTTTTTTATTAATCAAATCCAAAAATGCACACTGGTATTTTCACACTAATGCAATTTGGAAGATTACCCATGAGAATTTTTTGCACATAAACGAGGACACGGTTTTAATTTTGAATTAAAAGCTTCTTTTTTTTTTTAATTTCCCCTTATGAGCAATGGGTTCCTGCATGAACACAAAATTCTCTGCCAACGAATTCCACACGGGATTCCTGTTTTTATCTGAGAACTTCTTACTGGTTTGATACTTGCTTGCATAGATCAGAGTTTTAATAAGTGCTCAAACTTTGAGACTGGAGTGTTGCTTTCTTAAATGTCGTCAACTTTTTCAAACATTTGAATGATTTGAAGGTTTTCAGGGGCTGCAAGGTGGGACGGTGGTTAGCGCCGTTGCCTCACAGCAAGAAGGTCGCTGGTTCGCATCCCGGTGAGGATCTTTCTGCGTGGAGTTTGCATGTTCTCCCCGTGCAGCGTGGGTTCTCTCCAGGTTCTCCAGCTTCCTCCCACAGTTCAAAAACATGTTGAGGTTAATTGGTGATTCTAAATTGTCCGTAGGTGTGAATGTGAGTGTGCTTGGTTGTCTGTCTCTAAGTGTAGCCCTGTGATAGATTGGTGTCCAGGGTGTCTCCTGCCTTCACCCTGAGTCAGCTGGGATAGACTCTAGCCCCCCACAACCCTAGTGAGGATTAAGCGGTGTATGGATGGATGGATGGATGGATGGATGGATGGTTTTCAGGGAGGTAAACTGACCAGATCATTGCCATCAGTCCACTGAAAGTCCTCCTCCACTGTGCGATCATTCAGACCGATCCAGGCGTTGTCGTGACCCAGACCTAGAACAAATGACAGTGTAATAACTTGCTTTTAGTATACTGACAGGAGCACACCAACTCACTTACACAGCATCAATCCATTCTTCTGTCTCTTTCTAAATGCTTTCATTTGTGTATAATTTTGTGATTTTCCTCCACGTCTTGCTTTCTCCTCCACATTCTCCATTGGTTATGCTGCAAATGAACAAATCACTACATTTATGGATGCTTTTACTGCGTCATGCTTTGATTTTATGCACCTTACTCGTGCTACATAACATTTGTACTCGTCTTCTTCTTTATTTCATGTTTTGTTTCTCACTCTGCAGGCCAGGTTGTGTTAGAGGAGAGGGGCTTTTTGTCTCCTTTTTTTCATAAAAATGTTTCAAATTCAATAAAAACCAAACCGACAGCAACAAAAACACACACACGTACCGTTGATAAACTCCTGCTCAGTGCCGGAGGTGATGCTGCTGAGATGAGCGCTGTGCTCTCTGCAGTCTTTCTCCGCGTCCTCCCAAGTGTGTCTGTGGGTGAAGTACCTGTGGGAAGACGCAGCCAAAGTGGAAAATACATATTTCATATATTATGCATCCAGACAGGTTTAAATAGTACAGAGCGGTGCGGTAAGTATGTCAGGGATAATGAAGAGTAATGCATATAGATGAGTCACCAATATGGCTGCAGGTAGCAATATTGTGACTCCGCTTGTTTTCACAGCGAGATTTGCATCATTCCTACCTGTAGCAGTGGCCGTGGAACTTCCTCCAGCCGTGTTCGCAACCCTCGATGTCTGCAGAGACGAGAGAAGTTCAGTTAATTTCTTTATAAAATCACAGTCAAGGCCGGATTGAGTGAGATTTTTTTTAAAGGCCTGTATCGGATGTGAGCGGCTGAAGTGTTCCATGTCACTGGGCAAATAAAGACTAAAATATATGACTCTGGCATCTCGAGGAGCTAAATACATGAACTGTAATTATACAGGCTCGTTTTCAATTCACAGCACATGTGGCCCTCTCTCTGCACGATTGGTATTCATTAATAACACCAAGGCCTGTGGAATCATTTATAACTGCAAAGGTTAGATATTCATTAATCCTCATTACTACTAGTGCACGACATACGAACGCTTACACACACACACACACACTCACACACACACACGAGGAGGAGCGTTTTGGAGGTGGCTAAAGCCAGGGAGGTGATGAATCAGTGTGTGTGTGTGTGTGTGTGTGTGTGTGCGTGGGTTTGAGAAGGCGTACGGGAGGCGGTTAGTACCACGTTCCACAGAGACACTCGTGAATCTTGCCTCTGTGTTTGTGTTTGTTATTCACATTGCACATGCTCATGAGGCTAGATTATTGCCTCCCTCTTTTTTTTTTTTTTTTTTTGCTGAGTTACGAACAGTCGAGCCAAGTATTTCTGGGTTGGCCGCTGCTGTACGCCTCTATGATTACCTAACACGGACTCCAGACTTCGCCCGCATCAAACTGTTTTACCTCCAGCCAGTCCAGCGCTCGTTTAGCCTGGTTTATATTTAGAAACAAAGCTTCACATCTGCCAGCTCGATTTCCCGGACTCGCTTTTCTCTGCTTCCTCCCATCCCCGATTCTGACTGATTTCTGCCGACTTGCTTACTTCACTTGAGTTGAATCTTTTGTTTCCTCTGGCTAATGTTCTGTAGGATGTTCACCCAATTCTGCTTGTTGTTTTTACTGTATATTGTCTTCTTTGCAAAGCACTTCAGAAGAACAGTATTAGTTTTTACATACAGTGTTTAACAAATTCATTTGACCACCTGTCT